AAAAAAAAAAAAAAGACCTTCTTACTGCTCCTCTGTGGTTGCAAGGACAAAAAAGCCAACCCCATACCACCTTCTCCAGCAGCTGCGAGCAGGGGGAGAGGTCAAGTTCCCTCAGAAGCAAGGCAGGGCCATTAGCCATTCATTCACTTGTTCACCTGGTATTAAGCACCAACTGTGTACTGGTAGGGCAGCCCCCTGCCCTCTAGGAGACAACAGCCTAGGGCAGTATTTTCACAGACACACACCCCCTGCTCATTAGGACCCCCCTGGGAGCTTTTACAATGTCCCTGCATCCAGAACCATTAAGTCATTAACTCTGGGGGTGGGACCCAGGTGGTAATTTTTTTTTTTAAGTTCCCCAGATGAGTCCACTTTGTGGTCAGAAACGGTGAGGTGGCAGGCACAGCAGACAAGTTATTGCCATCCAGTGTTAGAGAAATGGCAAGTGTTGTACTGCCTGTATATATCTTAATAAAGTTGTTGAAAGCAGACAGGCAGGTATAGGGGCTACAGAAACCCAGGGATGGAGCCTGATTTAGGCTGGGCTGGGGACCAGACTTAGCCAAGGCTCCCCAAAGGGGGAACGGGCATCAGCAGGAGTCAGACACGCCAAGGGGATGAAGGGGAAGTGTGTATTCGAGTCTTGAGCCTCATTTCTAAAGCAACAGCCAGCTCTGTTATTGACAGTATACGACACACTGCATGATTAAGTTCGTTAATTAGTATTAATAAAATTGGCACTTTTTTTCATTTAGATTAACACTTCTCCAGCCTTGGGAATAGACTTTGGTGGTTCAGGGAGAGCTTATAAGGAACTCCGGGAGAGGAAATCTGAGTGACACTCCTGTGTCTGGGCAGTCTCCAGTCCTGGGCAGTCCCCATGTGGAAAGACTCCAGATAAAGCCTCCGATAATTCCTCCCCTCCCTGGGCTTCTATACCCCTTCTCACATCAAGAGATGGAGTCTATTTGCTCTCCCCTAGGACTGGCCTGTGGTTCTTTTTTTGTTTGTTTTTAAGACAGACCATTGCTCTGTTGCCCAGGCTGGAATGCAATGGTGTCATCATAGTTCACTGCAACCTCAAACTCCTGGGCTCAGGGACCCCCCTGCCTCACCCCCTCCAAGTAGCTGAGACTATAGGTGTGCATCACGTTCCATGCCCAGCTAATTTTTCTATTTCTTTTGGTAGAGATAGGGATCTCAATCTTGCTCCGACTGGCCTCAAACTCCTGACATTAAGCGATCCTCCTGCCTCATCCCCCGCCCCAAAGTGCTAGGATTACAGCTGTGAGCCACCACCCCTGGCCCCCATGGCTTGTTTTGGACAGAAGGCTGTGGAAGCTACTCTGTGAGACTTCCAAGCCTGAGCCCGAGGAGGACTGGCAGACCCTCCTTCTTCTCTCTGGAGCCCAGGAATCAGGCTCTAAGGAAGTCCATCCTAGATGACCATGGGGTCAGAGGTTACATGGACAGAGGCCTTGGAAGATGAGTCCCCAACTGAGAAGTTCCAGGTCAAGCCAAGCTCCCAAGTGAAACCAGTGGAAAATGACCCTGCTGAGCCCTTCACCTACAGCCTCAAGAGAACAAGATAAACCATTGTTCTAAGCAACTAAGTTTTGAAGTCTTTGGGAGTCTTCTGCATAGCATTGTACTGTATTTCCACTGTAATCCAGGCCAGCCTAACTAAACTCATTTGGTCACTCCCCATTATTAGCTAGACAGCTATTGATACCCTCAAAACGAGGTCTGTTATCCCCGCGTCAGGGAATTCAGGAAGGTTGTGAACTCAGATGGGAGAAAATGATAACATTTTTATCTTCATTAACCTCTAGCTGAAATTTATTGTTGCCTTTAATTATGAATGAGGCAACGAGCCACAGCCGTGTAGGAGTGACTTTGTCACTAGTAGAAATCACAGATTTTTTTCATATCACATTACAATTGACCTTGTTGTTGAAGATGTCAATCAAGTGCCTATGTCATCATATTGAACACTTCTTTTTAATAATTCGATAACTATGCTTAACACAATTGGGTTCCCCTGTAATAAGTGTCTTATTTTATGCACTTAGAACTATTACTCTGCAGGCTAGCAATGGGGTCCACGGCCCTCAAAAGAAATGAGAGCACCTGAAACAGAGGTCGTACGGGTCAGATGTCAGCCCTCTACAAACTTCCCACCCGGTTTCATTGAAAGCAATCGTCACGTGGACTCCTGCCACCTACCCAGGAATTTATCTGCAACCTGGCGATAAGACAGTTCCTACCTACAAGATCACATTTGGGCTCCCTCTGTCTTTTCAGGAGTTACGACAGCATCTCATGTGAAAAAGTTCAATCAAGGCAAAAATTCTAGGGCAAGTCTCAGCCAACTATACTTACCTATTATACCCACTCTGTTAAAATATTTTTTAAAAAATACCTTAAAGGAAATTCCAAAACCATAACACATTGCCATCCCCTTAACTCCCTTTTTATAATGAAAAAACCTTCCAAATCTTTCCACCTGCCTTCCAGTCTCCAGATGAAAATCACCTCATTAATAATGTTACAGTTCTTTTTTACCCTCCAAATCTTCAACATGTGGCCTTCCTCCAGGGCAGGTGGTGTTTCCTTAGCCCTTGAGATCAAGGTAAGCACCCTCACACACGCTCTGCCACCATTATCCTGCCAGAGTCTGGATACCCCATACGGAACCTATTTAGTTAGCCTGCTACTGTTTCATAGACGCTGGCAAAAGACATGAGACTCTTGAGTCAGAAATAAAGGGATCTTTGTTAATCACAGCAGAGCAAGGACAAGAGCACAATGCTGGCATGGATCCCCACATCTCCAGAGTCCCATGGGGGATGACGCAGAGGGGCCCAGGTAGATACCAAACATATGGTAGATTTGCATCACAGCCAAAGAACACTGCTCTTGGGAAATCTATCACTTTTAGAACGAGTGATAAGCAAACTTGCTCTGTGTCTGAGCAAGAGATGAGAGAACGCTTCCTGCAAACACAACCCTGAGGAATGGCCCAGGTGAAGAGCAACCAGGGTCTCATATTCTGGGCATACCCACTAGCCACGTGCAGGGACCCCCAGGGCCCGCAATGGATTGCCTCTTCTAACACCCATGGCTTGGTTTTCTTTATCTCAGCACTTGATTTTCCCATATTTCCTCATCAGTTCTTACCTGTCTCTCCCAATGCAGCAGAAGCTCTGGAGCTCAGGGTCATCTGTCCTCTCACTGCTAATTCTCCAGCACCAGAAATAGCATGTGGCCTGCAGAAGGCACTCAGTACATGTCTGTCAAATGAATGAGTGGGACTGGCCTCAATTTCCAGCACGGGACACAGATTTTCCACTCCAACTGAACAGATTTCTTAGCTGTCCCCAAACACACTTGGCCACATGGCTTCAACCTGAGCAAGCCTCAGCCATGGATTATTACCTCCTCTGCTGGGCACAGGTCACCCACTGCGAAGCCCAGCATGTGCCTCCTCTCAGCTTCTTCACCCATGAGTCTTCTCTGGAGGCTTATAGCTCTCTTCCTTGATCTCATGCCTCATCGTGAAGATGATGATACTATCATCACCTTCTCCATCGTTACCATGTAGTTGGGAGGGCCTGTGAGTCTTGTTAAAATGTCCTTGAGTGGGGAGAAGAAAGAGAGATGAGCTCACAGAGGTAGTAGAGCAGGGGTTCTCAACCTTCCTAATGCCACGACCCTTTAATACAGTTCCTCATGTTGTGGTGACCCCAACCATAAAATTATTTTCGTTGCTACTTCTTAACTGTAATTTTGCTACCGTTATGTATCGTAAGGTAAATATCTGATATGCAGGATGTATTTTCATTGTTACAAAGGGGTCACGACCCACAGGTTGAGAACCACTGTAGTAAAGAGTAGCAGTGACAGACAGTCTCTAACATCTGTATTCCTACTTATCAGCTGTGTGACCTTAGACAAGCAATTTAACCTCTCTAGGCCTTAGTTTTCCCATCTGCAAAATGGGAGTAATGATCCTATCTCTCTCCTAGGGTTACTCTGAGGACTGGTTGAGCTACAGAAAGGATTGAGAGGAGTGCTTTTTGGTTATTCCTGGTGCCACACTATGTGACTTGCTGGCTGCATACTCCACAGCCCTCCCCCCACCCCACCCCCGCCAAGAGTGCCTGACCCCGTTCACGTGCCAGCCCCTTGCAAGGGCAGAGGCTGTGAGAGAGGATACCTAGAAAAAGTAAGGTCAAAGAGAACAGAGGGCTTCTCAAGGAGACCCCCAGGATACACCCGTGACTCAGCTGTTAGGAATTTGTAAAAACTTAAACTCCTGGGACCTGGAGGCTGACGCTTGCTTCTGTGAAAACCTGAAGTTTTGTATAAACCAGAGCTGGGGTGATGCCTGTGGCTCAAAGGAGTAGCAGGCCAGCCCCATATACTGGGGGTGGCGGGTTCAAGACTGGCCCTGGCCAAAAACTGCAAAAAACAAATGAACAAACAAAAAAAGAAACCAGAGCCGCTTCTCCGGGCTTGATTCAAACTGACCAATGAGAAAGGTACCTGTCGGCTGGAACTTTTTGGCGGGGGATAAAAAGGAGAAAACTGAGCCAGTTGGGGAGTGCAGCCATTTTGAATTCTTCTGTGCCAAGGCTCCACCGGCTAGGGTTTGGGTGTTTGTTCTCTCCACTGGGCCTCGACTTCTCGCAATGGCTGGGCCCCCTGCAGCTCCTCTCTCTGCCCCAGAACTCACAACTGCTGGGGCACGGGGAGGACTTCAGGAGCTCTTTGAGCAGATGTTCCCTGGTGAAGTCAAATCTTTCACGGAAATGCAATGGATCCTCCCCAGAGTCTCCAGAAGGTACACAACCTTTGCTTTTAGCCTCTGACCCAGTTAGGACTTCTGACCTCCGGACCTGTAAGATAAATCTGTGTTGTTTTAAGCCACTAACTGGGATGATTTGTTAAAGCTGCGATTGGAAAGTAAAACACCCACACCCACACACAAAGCCTGCCAGAGCACCACCGTCATTTCAAAAAGCATGTTATTGTTAAATGAATCTGCACTTGATGGGAAGAGCGTGGAAGGCCTGTAGGATCCAGAAACGTCCTCTGATGTCCCTGTCCCCACAGTGAGTGGCTCAAAACACTGGTTTGTAACTCCAGCTCTGTTACTCACTATCTGAGACTGTAAGCAAATAATTTAGTGTCCCCATGCTTCAGTTTCCTCATCGTGGATAGTGGTGAAATGGGACAGTCCTCAGGGCTGGGAGAATGAAACGCTTAGACCGGTGCTGAGCGCATGGCTGTTAGTTATTATTATGAAAGGACATTTAGTCCTTGAGAAGCCAGGTTAGACTTTAAGCACAGGAGAAGGGGTGGCACATGGGGAAAAGAGAAAGGGACAAAGGAGGGATCACTTCCTGAGCTCCTGCTGGGTGCCAGGCACTTCTTGGGAGCAGCACACACAAGACACATTATCTGATCTACTATTCTCAGCACCCAGGAGGTGGGGTTCAGGGCGGATGAAATGCCAATTCACACCCCAATCTGTCAATTCCAAAGCCCTGTCCAAACATGCCCCTCACACCTCAGCAAGGGCAGACAGACATTGGAGGGAATGTGATAAGGGAATTGATTTTCTGAGCCTCGGTTTTCATCTGGAAAGTGGAGATCAGGTGACTAATAACCATCTCCTGGGATTATTGGAGGAATCAAAAGAGGGAATATGCATGAGATTCCTTCACAACCCCAACAGGCCATTAAAATGCAAGGGGTGAACATGACACCTCGCAGGGCAAAGTCCAGCTGGGATGCATCAAGGAAGAGCAGGGACCACGGGGTGGCCCAAATATGCACATGGCAGCTAAGAATGGGGAATAAGGACCAGGGCCAAAGACCAGCCTGGCACATTTCATACAAGGGTGTGTGTTCAGTGGCTGGCACTGGGCAGGCAACCGTGTGAGGCAGTTGGACACGTGGTCCAATGGCCAGCCCTGCCCCCCAGAAGTGGGAGATTCCCACAAACTCTCTTCCTCTTAAAGAAAGAAGCAGTGGAAGATTTGAAAGGAGTGTGTGAGCATTTCAAAGAGCCGCTAATTCATTACCGGCAACCACAGCTGAAAAGCTGAGTAGAGTAACTTCTGGCTCACAGGCTATCAGCTGCTGACTTTCCAGCAGGAAGTGACCAGACCTTTGGGGTCATCTGGCAACCTGCTCCACGAGCAGATGTTTTGCGGTGGATGGTAGGTCTCTGGGCCTTATGCTCCCAGACAGGGTGGCCAATTTTCCTGGTTTTCCCAGGACTGAGGGATTCCCGAGACATGGAACTTTCAGTACTAAAACTGGGAACTTGGGCATACTAGGACAAATTGGTCGCTGTGTTCCCAGGACTCTGCCCATCCTCCAACCAAAAGTCTACTGAGAACTCTCCCCAACTTTCCCTGAAATAACATGGCTTTTGGCCCTCAAGTTTGAATTCCCTGCCCAAAGCAGAGATTGACAATATTTCCAAAGCAGTTGCAAACACGGTCCATTCCTGGAGTGTTCACTACAGTTTGCAAATAGCTTCCCCTACACTGATGTGTTTTACTTTTCAGAACAATCTCAAGGCCAACGATAATAAAACATTACTGTCTTAGAAATGCTTTAGGCTGTAAGAGAGAGAAAATAACTGTGATGATTTAAGCAAACAGATCATATTTCTTTCCCCAAACAAAAAGTTTAGAAGGAAGCTGGGTTTGATGCTACAACACAATGATAGTGGGGCAGTTGTCTGCAACTCTCCTAGTTTTCCCTCATGGTGGTAAAGTGGCTGCCATGGCACCAGACGTCTAGTTTCATTCTAGGCAGGAAGAAGAAGAAGGCTGATGGAGCACTACCAGCAGAATTCTACTCAGGTTTCTTTGGCCAGAACAATGTCAATGTGGCCACTTGCAGCTGCATGGCCACTGGGGAAATCAAGTATTTAGCTTTCTAGCCTCTATAGCAGAGGAGGGTGAGGGACAGAAGGAAGAGGAACAGTGCTGAGTGAACCACCTAAGCCATTTCCACAATATGAATAGAGGATTGGTTCCTGGAGGCTAGAAGAGGCCAGAACGACCTAGAATATCATGGAGGCCAATAACTCAACACTTCCTTGCACATTAGAATCATCTGAAGATCTTTTAAAAATAATGATGCCCAGGCTCTACCTTGAATCACTTAGGTAAGAATCTCTGAGAATAGGTCCTAGCGGTGCTATATTTAAATGCTTCCCAGTTGACTAATGTGTAGCCAGTCCTCTGAAAAGCCCCAGTGTGGTAGCTCCAAGCCACATGTGGCTATTGAAATTGAGATTAGGTAAAATTTTGTAAAATTAAAAGTGTAGTTTCTCAGTCATACTGGCCAGCATTCCAAATAGTCAGTAGCCACGCATGGCTAGCGGCTACCAGATTGGACAGCCCAGACATACAGCCCTTCCATCCTCATAGACAGTGCTGTGATTGGACAGAGGAGCCTGAGAGGGAGGAAGGCTGTTGGGAATTTTGAGGCCCTTTAAATCTAGCTGGGATGAGGGAGGCAAGTCCGATGGCTGTGACCTGGAAGCAATATAGAAGAGTGGTTAAGGGCATGAACTTGGGTCAGACAGCCCAGGTTTCATTCCCGGACCTCTGCCCCCATACACACATGTATAACTACTACTTGGGTAACCTCAGACAAGTTACTAGTCTGACTGTGCCTCTGTAGGGGTAACAGGGAAATGTCCCATTTACCCAGAAAGTTCAATGAAAGATCAGTGGACAAGGCAGATTCACACAAGGACGAGGTTTATTTACCAGGCACGTGGAGAGAGTCACAGAGTGACCACCCAATATCTCAGTGAAGTCCAGAAATTGTTATACCTTCCTTCTGGCAGGGAGGGAGAGATGAGGAGTATAGGTAATCCCATCTGGAGGAAATAAATGGTTGCTAGAGAGAATGAATGGATGGGGGAACAGATTGACTTGTAAATGATTCTCTTCGCAAATTAAATTAACCTTGAGAGATAGGTATTATATTTAAAATGATTTGGGCCAGATCTGGTTGCATCTTTTCCTGCAATATGTTAAGATAAGAGGGAGAGAAGTCGATTGCCCCTGTGATCTTCTGATCAGTCAGCCAGTCCACTTTAATTCAAATATTCTTTATAGCAGGAACTCTTATTTTAGGGGAGATATCCTGAGCTCCTTCAATACCATCTCTGGGGGTTGCAGAGAGAGGACTCCTTTTTTTTTTTTTTTAGACAGCTCACCTATGTTGCCTTTGGTAGAGTGCCGTAGCATCACAGCTCACAGCAACCTCACACTCTTGGGCTTAAATCATTCTCTTGCCTTGGCCTCCCAAGTAGCTGGGACTACAGGTGCCCACCACAATGCCCAGCTACTTTTTGTTGCAGTTGTCTGTTTAGTTGGCTTGGGCCAAGTTCAAACCCGCCACCCTTGGTGTACGCTACAGGCACTGAGCCTGCAGGGAGGACTCTTAGCTGACACGGGGAACATGCTTAAGATGGTGCCCTGGCATGTGCCACCTGTCACATGTGTCAGCTGTCAATGTTATCCAGGAGATCTGACAAAGTGGCCTCTCCAGGCACATCTGTGATGCCAACTCTCAACCGGAGACTGCTCCTAGACTTCCCAACAGGGTCCCTGACACTGACCTTCCCATGTCACCATAGCCAGGAGTCTGACTTCCTGGTGCTCAGCCAGCCAGCTAGCCCCCCATGAACCCTGGCATTTAAGGTGAGCGAGAGAATGAATGAATACACAGGCACTGAACACATCCTGGGTTGTTCATCAAGTATAACCAAGCCCTTGAAATTGGTACTTGGTCCTGGGTGCTACAACTGCAGAAAGCCTGAGGGCAGGGGGCGGGCTTTGTGGTCCTGAGCAGATCGCTCATCCTCTCTGTGCAGGCAGCCCCCAGTCCATAAAATCAGGGTAGCATCTGACATAGACTACGGCCTCTGAAGGGCATTAAACCTCTGAAATTCCACATTTTCCTTTCTTGGGGAAAAATTACAGCTTCTTAACCCAGGTAGCTGTATACAGGCCTTCTGTGGCTTCTGATCTGCCCAGGATGTAATTAGAGCGCTTTCCCATCCCTCAGGGCTGCTCCCCTTATCTCCCCATCCCCTCTGCCTGCCCAGGCTGTGCTAACAGCTTCTAGGCTGTGCATTAGAAGATGCCATTCACTGCCGCAGAAATGAACAAGATTCGCCCCTCCTTGCCGTCTGAGGATTCTGAGTGGGGGACGCTGCCCCCTCAAAATGCCCTGCTCAAACAGCCCTGCCTCCCAGGGAAGGAAGAGCATTTTCAGATGCAGCAACCTTGAGCCTCAGCGCATCTGCTCCTGGCGCGCGAATGCCACAGCGCGGCAGACACGCCGCGATGGGTCCCAGTCATTAACTGGCTGTCAGGCTCCTCGGGTGATGGAGCTAAAAATAGCGCGCTATAGATAGAACCATCTCCCACGCGGGCAGGCGCAGGCTGCAAAGGGAAGCGGGGAGCAGGGGCTGTGCGGCGGCTGGCTGCCCTGAAGGGACGTTCGTGCTGGTCCCCAGCTCCCCGCCGCGCGCTCGTGGGCAATGTCCCGCTTCGTCCCACAGCACCTCCCGCCCCTCATTAACCGCAGACGCGCCCAAATGTTCCAAATCCGCGCTTGGCGGGGGCTCATTTGTATGCCGCTCCCTGGATAAAAATGATAAGGCCCCAAACACTCCAAGGAGACCGCGCAGATGAAACCCGGCGCTGCTCGCTCAGGAGGAGAGCTATTTATAGAATCCAAATATCAGCATT